CACCTTAAATGTGTTGACATTTGGACACAGCCATCCCTCAGTACAAACTATGAATTCTGCAAATCTGCTGGTGCTTCATTCGCGGGCATCGTACCCCTGGTAGACTCCTGCTCGAAACCCCAAGCCCAAAGAGACACTGCAGTCTACAAAATAGCCGCTAAAATGTATGCAGCCCGAACAGTTTTAGTTTTTCAAGCCGGGAACAACTAGGCGCCAGCGAGTGAACAGATCTGAAGCCCACCACCGGCTTTTCAGACCGGTCCGCCGGCACACTGGCTTGGGATCAGAACCTATTGTTGTCCATTGGGAGGTCTGGCGTTTCAAACCTATCTGATTATTTTCCTTGTTGCAAGATGTTTTGCACCCTTTTCGGGCCTGAATTCAAACCTCAGTCTTTCAAGTTTAGCGACGTGATCTGGCTGAGAAACGGCCAGTCCCCCGAAAAGATCCGTGTACAGACCCTAGGTACAGCCAGGTATTCTTGTTGTTTCGAAGCCAGAAGGGTGGAATCTTGCGCCACAAGCATGTCTTGTTTAGAGATCAAAACACACCTTACATGGACCTTATGCAACATCTTGTATGGAGATCCCACAAGAATGTGGCAGAGGTCCAGCAGAGGTCCCCACTTAGATGGTTGCTCGCAAGAGCTAGGATCAGAATGAAGTCCCCTTGACTTGATGAACAGAAAGAAGCACAACTCGAAAGGTGATGGAGTCGGCGAACTTGTAGATGTTTAATGTTTAACAAAGTTTGGACATACACTAGCCGCTTACCGCAAAACACTGTAGTGGACAGCTTATTCAACAGTTCAAACAGTTAACTGCTCGCAGGTACACAGGGATGATCAGTCCCTGCATCCTGTCATCTGCATAGAGCTTCGTTGGCGACAGCTATGCAGTGACCCTGTCGCCCCCTGCTGCTGTATAGTAGGGAATTGTTGGAAACAGTCCAGAAGTAAAAAGATCAAAACAGTCGTAAAGTGGAGATTGAGAAATCCTTAGAGACAGGCGTTGACACACTCTGACATTGGTTTTCAGCTATTCAACTCCCAGGTGGAGGGAAGGTGAAAGAACGGTAAGGCGAGAGGTCCAAGCACTTGTAGGTGTGTTAACAAAAGAGTTTCTCACTTGACTACGGAAAGCGCTCAGCAACGGTGGAAAGCGGCGGAGGGAAACATGTTTGTGGGGAAGTATCGTGAAAGAACCCTGAATCAAACCGAAAACAGTGGAGTCACAGCTGATCAAAAGTTGAAGCAGGTACACACCGAGACGTCTCTCAGTGCTTCCCGTGCGTCAGGTAGCTTCGTTGGACATGGTCCCTGAACGCACGCCATGTCCCCCTGCTAAAGTGGAAAAAAACAAATCCTGAGGAGGAAACCCTTGGTTACAGGGGTTGACACACACACGTGGCCGTCGGCGCACGTGTGACTTTTCGCAAAAGCCGCCAACAATCTTTGGCATTGTGTCCCTTTAGGACGTATAGTCTCACTACATGGGAGAAAATTGAGAACAAGTGACAAGTGGAAATTGAGTTTGAAACGTAACGTGCCTGATCTCAAAGTGACCGTGGTGGAAAATGTGTGACTGTACACTCTGGAAATTGAAAGTGAGCTGCAAGCATGAAACTGAGCAGTTCACACCCAGCACCCAAGTGGGACGACTGAGCGAGTCTCTGACATTGGTTTTCAGTTATTCAATTCCCAGGTGGAAGGAAGGTGAAAGAACGGCAAGGCGAGAGGTCCAAGCACTTGTAGGTGTTTTAACAACAAAAGAGTTTCTCACTTGACTGCGGAAAGCGCTCAGCAACGGTGGAAAGCGGCGGAGGGCAACCTGTTTGTGGGGAAGTATCGTGAAAGAACCATGAATCAAGCCGAGAACAGTGGAGCCACAGCTTGATCAAAAGTTGAAGCAGGTACACACCGAGACGTCTCTCAGTGCTCCCCGTGCGTCAGGTAGCTTCGTTGGACATGGTCCCTGAACGCACGCCATGTCCCCCTGCTGAAAGTGGAAACAAAACAAATCCTGAGGTGGAAACCCTTGGTTACAGGGGTTGACACACTCTGACATTGGTTTTCAGTTAGCTCAATTCGCAGGAAAGCGGCGATGGAACGGAAAGGTGAGAGGGTCAGCGCACTTGTATGGTTTTAACAATCTGTTGACATGTCTGCGGTGGCGAACATCAACGCGGCTCAGCTGCAGGACAAGCGGCAGAAGAAAAGGTTTGCGGGAAGTATCATGCGAACCACCATGAAACAAACCGTGGAGAAGGAGGGTCACAGCGTGAAGAACTCAGCAGGTACACACCGAGACGTCTCTCAGTGCTTCCCATCTCGCTGCCTAGCTTTGTTAGGCCAGGTTAGCTGCGAGATGCCTGGTCCCCCTGCTTGAACAGTGGAAATTGTGAGGTGGAACCCTTGGAGACAGGGGTTGACACACACACAAAAAGAAATTCCAAGGCATCTGGCGTAGAAACCTGCAAAGCTAGGTCTTGCACGATAGGAATTCCGACGGCGACTTAGCTCGGTCATCCCCCAATATGTTTCCGCTGGTGTGGACGTTCCTTGTTGCCGTGCGCGGCCTAACAAAACGTCAACCGACCTCCTGGTCGGTGAGCGGCCTAGCGGCCTAGTGGCCAGCGGTGTGGGCGCCGCGATGGCCCCGGGTTGACACCCAACTCTGCCCCGCCAGGAAGCTTCGTAGCGGTCGGCCCGCAGATCTGTCCTGTGATGTGGTTTGCTGAGTATGCTGTTCGCCGGAATTCGCCCCGGGGGCATTGTGTATGTTCCCTTCACCAAGAAGAACGCCGGGAGCGCCTTCCTCAAACTGAGGGCGGATAGCAAGACCACACTTTTGAGCCAGCAGAGTCCCCAGCATAGATGCCAGATAGCATTGGCACCCGCGTTTCACAACGTTCCTGGAAACAGCACGCCGTACCAAAAGCAAGCGCACACAGCAGCGGCACACAACAGCAGCACCAGCAGCGGCACCCTGCAGCGGCACCAGTGCCCGAGCCCCCAAGCGCACAGCAGCGGCACCCTGCAGCGGAACCAGCACACAGGCTCGAAAGCGCACACACGCAGTTCTTCCAACACTGGAAGTAAGAACCCCCAATAGCTCATGCTCTTTGGGGAAAAAAGGGTTCAAAAAGGTTCAAGATTGTCTCTTTGTGGATTCGGAGGCCGCTTCCTCACTTCGGCGGATCTTGGGCGATGTGAACGGATCGCTGTGGGCGGATCGCAGTGGTGTGAGACATGCTGAACACAAACTCTCGTGATGTGGACTGCAAAGGCTGCAGTGCAGCTGCAGTGGGCAACTCCCCAGCCACGATGTCGGACGTTGCCTTCTTGAAACCACGACTTCGCGCTGCTCGCGCCGTCGCCAGCGTCGGGAGCAGCAAACTGAGCATCTTTCTCGGGCTGGGGCGACGGCGGTGGGGTCCGAGAAGCAAGGCAGTGCAAGTCAATGGGAGGTCAAAGGGGCTTGGGGTTTAAAAGTGGCCATGATGTTTTTTGTTGTTCCTTGCATGATCCGCACAAATTCACGGATTCACTGGCTCGATTACTCACTCCCTGATTCACACCCGCACGCAATCATTGAGTAACTCTCTCTCTCTCTCTCTGTCTCTCTCTCTCTCTCTCTCACTCACTCACTCACTCACACACACACACACTCTCTCTCTCTCTCCTTCTCTCTCTCTCTCTCTCTCACTCACTCACTCACTCACTCTCTCTCTCTCTCTCATTCACACCCACACTCCCACTCTTACCTGACACATTCACTCCCTCCTCCCTCCTTCGCTCTGAAAGCTCGTCTTTGCTGCATGGGACTTCCCTTCTGGTGAGAAACCTTCTTGGCAGGGTTTCGCCCAGGTGATCATTTGTGTTGTGTTCAGAGTTCAGCGCGATATCGCGTTTGAGCTACTGGTGCTTGGCTTGCACGGTTTTTTTGCTACTAATGTGCATACCAATCTCATGTCATGTTCACACCAGGCGCCTGGTTTCAGGGTGGGTTTGCTCAGTTTGCTCTGATCTTTCGAAGCTGCATGCCGAAGCTGGTGACACGCGCACTGGACCACCGGACCACCGTTCGGCCGCCGCTACGACCGAGGCGTGCGAGGAGACGTCCGTCGCACGGCCGCGCCGTCGGATCGCCGGTCCCACGCGTTCGACTCGAACTGCGCGTTGCGTTCATTCGGGGATGGAGTCTACGTTCGCTTCTTGTTACTACTAGTAAGGCACTTGTTACTACCAGCGTGGCACTTGTTCCTAGTAGCTTATTGTGTCTACTAAGGTGTTGAGGAGCTTGCAACCAAGCAAGAAGCAGCCCTTCAAAAGTTGGGCTGGGTGGAAGGGGGGGCCACTCAGCATCTCAATGGCCAGCGTGTTGGGCGGGGCCTGAGCCATACCCAATGGCTTTGCATGCGAAATCTGAAGTGTTGAACGAAACAGAACGATACATACGGACTGCCATGGCTTCATATTGCGATGACGTCTCTGGCATGTGAAGTGTTGATCACCGCGTCAGAGCATCGAATTGGGAGTTGACAGATCGTCGATGATCAAAACACACGATGACCACAGAAACGCATCAGGTGAGGCCGTACACGCCGGTGCCACCAATTCGAGTGCGCCCGTGAAAAAGCACAGCGAGAGCCGAAGCTGCTCCGTGGACACGCAAGTGGCACCAGAAAGCAACGTTCAGAAGGCCGTTCGACTTCGATGTGCGGCGCTCGCCAAGCATGCGCCTTGGCGTCGCAGCGCGCGGCCTGCGGACCGAGCTGCCAGCAGACTTCTCTCGCTTCCGTCGACTTCGACTAGAAAGAGAGGTCTTGAAGTTGAATTCAAACAAGTGACTTCAAGGCCCTGTGGAGATAGGCCCGCCAAATGCTTTGGAACCATGACAACAACGTCCGTCTTCCGAAGCAGCACTTTTTCTGCTTCCAACTCCAGAGGGTCTCGGGCTTTATCACCGGTGGAGACCACCTCACCCTCTCAGAGCCTCTCATCTCAGTCCACCAGCATAAGGCTTCGTTGGAGAAAGTCCTCGCCTTGGCCAAGAGGCTTCGCATCAGGTGAGCCAACGTGAAGGGATTGGTCTGTTCGTGAGATGAAGGAATCTTTCAGACTCAAATCCCTAAAAAGCCTCCTAACAAGACCTCCAGCCAGAAAAATCGCCAAAAAAGCATGCAGAACGATGCAGACCTACCAGGAGCCTCAGGAGCCGAACACTTTGAGACCAGCTCGGCTTCTTCAAAAGGAAAAAGAACAGAACCGTCCGACATCGCGTCCCTGGGGCACTCGGACTCTTCTCGACTCATCGTCCTTGCTGCCCGGGGATGGCGCTCCATCAGCTCCCCCAAGGCTCCTGAGGAGCGAGCAGCTGGAGCAGCTGCACTTCGGCTGCACTTCGGCTCTTGGCAGGCAAAACGGTCCCAGGGAGGTCAGAGAGGTCAGGTCATTCTGATAGAGTTCAGAACAGAAACTTCCGGACTGTTTGAGAACTTGAGGCGTAGCTTTTTTCATGACAGATTCATTTTTGTGTGTGTGTGTGTGTATGTGTTTCGATGAGGTTAAGAAAACTCCTCAGCACCTAGTTCTTGCCTGCCCGGCGATTTGGCTTCGAACAGAAATGACTAACAAAGCCAGAATCTTTCAAAGTAGGTACATGCACATACAGACCGGTGGCGAAGTCGAGGACTATGAATCACTGGCTTGGGGATGTTTGGGGGGGTCACATAAGTCACAAATGCAACCGAACCGAACGGAGCGATCGGACGCTACGAATGGGGCGCTCCTGGCATTACTACTAGGAACAAGACACTACTAGGAACAAGTGCATCTTTTTGTAACAAGTGCCTTACTAGTAGTTACAAGAAGCTATTAGGGGCTCCTGGCATTACTACTAGGAACAAGACGCCGACGCTACTAGCATTCTTCGTCGCCTTGCCATGAATTGCTGCCCTGTCCTCCTCGGAGGTAATCCCGCCGGTCAGAAGACCTCAGGCGACGATGGAACTCTGTGAGCATCAGTGACTTGCTACTATATTAATATGTATATATACATATTATGTAATGCATATTTGTGATTATGTGTGTGTACAGTAATGCGTATGTATATCTCTGTATATATATATATATCAAGAAAGACTCTCACTTGCAGGCCGATGGCAAACCTACCAAGCCTACCAAGCCCACAGTGAGATTCTGCCTCATAGGATTCGCCTCGTGAAGGACTGCTCCTTTTCCGAGCCGTGACAGGACAGGTGGTCGCAAGCACTCCAAGATGTCTGGAGGCAATTGTGCACTTGATGCCGCCAGGGTTAGCTCACTCAAATCCAGATCCAGCCTGGAGGTGCGGAGCCATGCGGAGCCATGCGGAGCACAAGCTGCACAAGCTGAACTCGGCAATGCAAAGGTTTCAAGTGACTCAGGTCACTGGGTATCGCAATTCTGAAATACCTCCACCGGGCTCCACCCGCGGCTCCACCGGGGCCTCGACCTCGTCGACGTCGAGCGCCTCAAACGGTTTTCGGTGGTGGCGAGGCGTCGCAACTGCAGCGTCGCAACAGTGTTGGTCAACAAACTGAACCAACCTTCAAGCGACGAAGTTTGGTCAAGTCCAAGTCTACATTCAAAAACATCTCATTATAACCCCTCACTTTCTCGAGTTTCGAGCAAGTCTCAACCACAAAAAGAAGTTCGACCGTCTCTACGTCGGTCATGGCACCGGGAGACCTCGGGTCTGACCAAGTCGACGAGTCGGAGGTCCATCTACCGGGGTTTGGACATCGACCCACCCTGGGCCGGGGCATGCGCCGGCATGCGCTGGGGATAGCCTCAGCAGTGCTAGCAGCTCCTCTTGCTGCGCTGCACGCGCATAGCAGGTTGCTGCACAGCAGAAGCCCTTGAGGTCACCTCAAGAGCATGAGGCCCCTTTGGCACTTGCATTGTAACAGGTACAGGAAGTTCAATACAGTTAAATCATGTTCAGTCCAACTCCTCAGCACCTTGAGGGCTGAGTAGGACACAGCTGTCCTGCTGAGCCTCCCACCAATCTCATCGAAATGGAGCATCATCTGCTGCCACGATCCTTTGGGCAAGAACGCCGCCAGGAGCGTATTCCGAGCCTCGGAGCGGATCGAGGCTCGTGGCCTTTCCGAAGACCGCTCAAACCGTCTGATCGACAGAGCCGCAGGGAGAGGCACTTTGGGCCCAAAGCAGTCGGTCCCAATGCAAACATCCGAACTGAGCTGAAGCACCAGAATACCAAAACAGTACCCTGGCCCCCGCCCCCACAGCAGAGCTGACCTGTAAGTGGCAAGTGGCAGTGTCTCGGCTTTTAGATCGGACATTTGCAGCCGAGACACCACCGTATCTGGCTGTAGCTGAATGTCCTGCACTTCACAGACAACTATGGTGCACGCCAGATCACCAACTCCAAAGTGGATTGATTTGATGGATTGATTTGGAACAACGCCTTCCCTCACGCTGCGCCAAAAACGCAAGCGTGGCGGTTCTTTTGGCTTTTGGTCGCAGCGCTCCTGGATCTGTAGAAAGTCGTTCAAGGCCACTGGCCATTGCCAACTGGTCGAGCTCGTCGCCACCACCTCGTTGATGCAAGGGAGGTCCACGGAGACCTACCAATGGAAAAGCAGGCGGTCGAGCACGCGGAAGCAAAACCGAAGAATGACAAATACCGAAAGCATTCCGAAAAGGTTTGATGACATCTCTGACCTCTCTAAAGAACCAACGGTGCACATTGCATGCGCCTGCATGAAGATGTGCCGCACCCGACGCCACTGCTGAGCACCTCGCAAGGCCCCGAGTAGCCCTGTGGCAGCTTTCGGGTCAGTACCTCAAAGCATCTGCGGAAAGGAATGCGAAAGGACTACCGAGGCCATCCGAGGCCAATCCTCCTTTGGAAAACCATTTTGTGTTTGTAGCAGGCCAGGTCAATGTTTTTTCTGGCCCGGTCAAGCCCCCCCAACACAGATGAAATCTTCTAAGTACAGTCTGGACCCCAGGGAGGCAAGTACTGGAAGCTAGTCCTGGATAGGTCAACCAGCCCACTCTGTATGTCTTTCTCTTCGTGTCTTAGTCCCTCCGACACCGCGCTGCCGTGGACCACGTCGGTGCCAAAGCAGGACAAAGCGAGCTCCCACTGAAGACCATCGCCTGAATGGGACACGGACAGGTCTTTCCGACCTGTGTCAGGTTTGCTGGGAGCCCTCCCAGAATTCGGTGTCCGAATTTCCCTTTGCTAGCTGTTTTTGCTGTCGCCTCAGATGTAAGAGTTTTCTTGACTCTGAGAGTGCTCCCTGCGTCCAGTCTTTTATGACTGGTGAACACTTTCGTGCCACAACAATGCCTCTCTTGACATGTAAGGCTATCCGACCAACCATCGGAGTCCAGGTCCCAGGGCCAAGTTTGGTCACCTAAAAGACCAGCGGCAGCATGCTGCGAGGCTGCTGCAGATTGTCACCTCATCCGGCTGCATCCCCTCCGTGTGCAGCAAATCTCCAACAAGCTCCCAATGTCGACCTCACGGTAGGCAACCAACAAGTGTTCCAATGGTTTTCCACCACATCCTGTTGATTCGACCGCTCTTGGCGGTGTGATGTGAGTGATGTGTGTCCTGAACTTCGTTGGACACCCGAACCCCCCGTCCCATCCGTCTCCCATCCGTCTTCCACACACACCGCACCTTTGCCAAGGTTGCTGATGACAGAATTGAGCTGGATGAGATTTGCAGTCATGCCATCCTAGATGGGAGTTCAAGAAAAGAGACAAAGACGACAAAAACAGAGGACAAAAGGAGGGTTTGAATCTTACTATCGGTTCTGATCTTACTGGTTTCTTGCAGATTGAAAACCCATGCTATAGCTGCTACATGACTATATGATGACTATATGACCCAAATGTCTTCGAAAAACTCTCCCTAACGGCATTGAGAAAAAAAGACTCTGCACTTCAAAAAACCGTCCAAAACCGTCCTGCCGCAATGCTCTCCACATCAAAAGCCCTTCTCTCCAAGCTCGGCAGGTCTCACAAGAGCTCATCAACGCCGTTCCTCCATGCGGACGCTGTGTGGAGCATGGAACTCCCATGAAAACTGGTTGCAAGTCCTAGAAACAAGTAACTGAAGCATCTCAAAATCTATCTTTATCCTGTTTAGAGGTCAAAATCTAGTTCCCATTTTTTGGAACGCTTCATTTAGGCCACACGGTTTCTTGAGACAACTAATCAGTTTGATCATATCAACCAAATGCGCCACTTATGACACGTTTCAGGTTCCTGTCACGGCATCACACTGCAAGCGTGCGTGAACTGCAGCATGCATGAGTCGCAGTGTCAGCAGCCACCGACCAGAGACAGCCGCCGCCCCGCAGAGGGCGTTCAAGGCAACCAGGTCCGGGTCTAAATGCCTCACTCGAACAGCCCGTATACCTTGCTGCCCTAGTCAGTCAGTGTGCGGTTCTTCCGTGGCTGACTGAGTCGTCACATCTCGTGGTTCCTATCTCAGGCACAACATTTAAACGTGTGTGTGAGGGTGCGCTTGTTGAGGCACTTGAAAAGGTTGCACAGTAGGTGTTCAATTGAGTGTCATTGATCTTTGGAAGAGCAACATTGTGGTCTTTCTGCGGCAGGGAAGAACTTGGCGTTCACTGAATCATACCAAACATAAACCTCTTCATTTTCAGCTACTTGAGAAGAAGAACCAGGACCGCCCAGTGCGGAAAATGATCTGCGACTAAGGAGCATGAGTGAAATCTGCACGTAAAGCTGCAAGGCGGCGGTCCAGGCCAAGACAGCGGAGAGCCTTTGAATCGGAGGAGCATGGCGCCCACGTTGAAAAAAACACCGTGCAAGATGACTCAAAGCCTTTTATATAATCCTTCTGAAAGGTCTTTCTGTTCAACGCAATGGCTGCGGCTTCTCTAGAGTCTTGTTTTGTACACGTTGCACCAGATTTGGTCGTATGCAGGAAGTTGATGGAAGTTTGGACTGGAGGAACAATTGCATGCCTAGTGACAGGAAGAATGCCAAGTCAGAATCAAGAGCAAATACCCGGTACTCTGTCTGAAAACCATTGAAAGTTTGAGAGGAAAGGGACCTAGTTTGGCGTTGGAGTCTTCAATCACGCACCATCATCGTTGATAGCTCATGAAATGTCACGTCTTCGCAACAACTGCTCCGATGCAGTGGAAGCTAAAGGGGCAACTTGACCCCTCTGCGGCTTAAGGTTAGGAAGACCCACCATGACCCACCAGTCTTGTCGCAGATGGGAGTGTGCCACTGGAAGTCTTGTCGCCCAGTTCATCTTCCGGCCTCGTCCTCAGCCAAGCGTCGCAGCACCGAAGCTCTGAAGAGTTGGCAGGATGGACCTCCAGCGCAAGGTCTCCTGTGCCAACCGAGTTTCAGATAGTTTCAGTGTTCCGTCCTTTGATCTTCGTCGATCGTCGACGTCAGTGGAAAGTGCTTTTGGAGCCGACGACATCGCCCGACTCGCCGTCCGACGAGCCGATTCCGGCCACTCGGCAGCTCGACAGAAGCTCCAGGCTGGTGACTGGAGAGTAGTGCTGCAGAGCGTCAAAGTTTTGGCAACTCCAAAGCCACTTCCCAGCTTTTCCAGAGCTGCTACTGACCTCACCAAGGGCACTGTTGAAAGCTGCTCTCCTTTTGCGGTCATCATGTGCCAATGTCAATGGGGTCGTTCATCCTTGAGTGGTCCTTACAATCGCCTCCTCAGGGTTTCTCAGACAGTCCTCTTTGCCTTCTATGGCACCATGGTCTTCACGTGAATCACGACACTACAGCCAAGTCACGGCATTGAAGGCTACGGCCTTGACACGCTTGCACACAACCGTCCATACAAATGTTCACTCACAAATATGTTGAACAAATTTGGCCATTGTTCTGGCTTTGTGGCTAAGTGGATGGTGTCTCAATTGTGGTATCCATTGGATTTGCCTCGGTCACTCTGAGGTTGTGTAAGAATGTCCACCATTCTTTCAAACGTCTTTCTTTGAGGACTCTGTCACTTTTGGCCAGGAGACATTTGGGCGAATGGAAGTATTTTCGATGCATCGAAGCAATGCAAGGCCTCTCTGCCACCTGCAGCGTTCTCGCAGGAAAGAGTCACAGGACAATGAATAAGACTAAAAACAAAGACCGTCAATTCGCAGGGTTCTGCTTGCAACCCTTGCGTGCATCACTCCAAAACCCCCAAGAAACCACCGGGGGTCGCCTCCGGACATGAGTCGCTCCCACTGGAGTCACCGTGCATGGCTGGCCCGTGGCCTGGCAGATCTGCTGCAGGCACCCACTGCAGCGCTCCTGGCCGGCTGGGTCCGGGGCACCCCAGCGGGCACTGGACGCGGAAAGAGCGAAGTAACGACAAAAGGCACCTCCCCTGTCCAGCACCAAATCGAGTGGCGTGACAACTCCTAAAATCCTCCAAAAAGGAACAAGAAGAACTTGATGTACCAAATGCGCGGCACGCCTGGACACGATTGTAGGAACCAGACCTGCCCGGGCAGGTCTGAAAAACCAACTAACCCTTTGGACCTGAGAGAACACAGAGGTGCAAACACCCCAGGCACTTTGGCCAGAGGACACAGAAATGTCTATCTATATATATATATGTATACATATACGAATCAAGCACAGAGTGCTGAAGATTGATCCCCTAAGGCGAGCTTCATGTCGAAGATGCCCCCAGTTGAGCCACAGCCATGTACCATCATCTGCCGTGCACAAGAGGTTTTCACAGAGGCCTTGTTGCACCAAGAGCTCCAAGAGTACCAAAGAATTGGGCCAACCTAGCGAAATGGGTCAGCGAAGAAGCGGAATGGCCACCCGCCGACGAGTGAGGAAATCAATTGGAAAAAAAGAAAAGGTCTGAAAGAACGTTTTGTTTGTTCTTCTAAATGTCTTTTTGACATGTATGATATATATATATATATATACATATATATTGAATAATATACACATATCAAATCTTAAAACGAAAGGTGATCTCCACTCAATTCGAGGATTGATGACCTCTCGAAAACTCATCGTAGACGAGTTGCAGGTCTCACGACCAGATGCACTGATCGCAGCATTGTACCTCAGGTCACTCTCTCGACCAAACCCCTTGTTTAGACGGTTAGACCATCTCAGAAACTTCGATTCCCCTCATCCACAGTTTGACAAGGAATGGAAGGATGGAAGTCGGGGTATTGAATCATTACTCATTCATACTCATTCCATTCACACGAATGAACTTGGTCTCTGCTGTCCACATCATCTGTCTTCATCTCCCGCCCTTCGCGCACTCGAAAATCGTTTCTGGGAGCGCCATAGTGCCATGGCGTAGGAAAGCGACGACAGGTTGATGAGACTCCACTGACGATGACACATGACTCCACTGGTGTCATGGAGGAAATATCCAGGACTTTGTCACCAGGATGGTTTCATGACAAGGATGTGCCATTGTAATTGTAACGTGTTTCATGACAACAACGGTGTCCAAAGTGGCTTGCTGCCTTAGCCGGCCCAGCTCTTGAGAGGAAGACGAGCACCGGCTGGTGTCAGGGAACTTCTGCATGGTCCAACATCTTCAAATCTGACTTCTGAATTCATTCCGACTCTTCTTCCTCAAATGCTCATCTTCCACTGCTTGGAGTCGAGTCTGCTCTACCAACGACGATCTCGGACTAGAATACTCGAATCCCGAATCCGTGGGCCCGGACAATTCATTGATGGGTCGGCCCAACTGGGTCGAACGCTCAATGGCCTGGCGCCACGATTCAGAGGGGCCGAAATCGAATCCTTTTCCAACTCAGACAAGAATGCATGTCGCTGTCGGTGTCGCTGTGAAATTGAAAAAAAATGAAAAAGTCTCGCGTCTCCCGATGCTGATTGCTTCAATGAACCTTCGAGACCGTTTCTTCTCTTGTTGGGCCGACCTTTGACTCTTCGCAGCTGGGGCGTATTTCCGTATGCCTTTCGTTTCGACGTCCGCAGCTTTCCAGGCGCTGACTCTGGGAGACAAAAGAAGAATGCCAACAGGTTAAGTGCATTCTTGCGGTGGCTCAGACTTGAAGCTGCCAGGTCCTAAACAAATTGTTGAAGTGCTTATGATGTAACTTGTACATGGTTGCATACCTTGCATTACTTACATGGTTTCTAACACCTGTCTTGGTTTAATGGTGAGCTCGTTCAACCGAATTACCCACCTTTGCAAGTGCTCGATCTCCTTTCTTCACCAACGAAGTGACCTGGCACTGGCCAGGAGGCCAGGGTTTTCATCCTCAACCATCATCCCTACAGGTTCCTGCTTGGCCAATCTGGAGTCTCTAGGTGAGTCGTGTGGATGATGCTGCCGATTCTCTTCCTCTTCAGATCTTCCATGCCAGGAGCCCCCCCCTACTAGCTTCTTGTTCCCAGTAGTAAGGCCCGTAGCGTCCGATCGCTCCGTTCATGTCGCGATGCCCAAAATGCTCCGTTGGTAGCTTCAGATCTTGCAGGTGTGGCTTCGCTTCGAAGATTCGCCCAGCGACCTTCCCAGGTTCACCATACCGAGCGGTTCGACCAGCTCTGTGGAGGTAATCCTCAGGCGATGCGACCAGCGCCAATTCTTTTGGCAAATGGATTGGATGTTCTATGCATTCCTCCAGTTGACTGTTGACTGTCAAAAAGAAACTACCAGGATGGTTCTACATCTCGGTATGCTTTTGATTTGGCTTTCTATCAATCAACAGTCAACATGACATTCATCTCATCCGCCTTTGAGACCACTGCAAATTTGTCTGATGACTCTGATGACTACTTCCTCAAACTCTGGCCACTAAGGGGTTCTCATGTTTTTACAAAAGCCTAAATATCCTCATATGCTCGTGTTTGGTATGGTCTAGAAGACTTTTTGCACCTGCACGTCATCCCTTCATCCGGAAGCAAAAAAAACCAGCAACAAATGACATCCTCCAATCTCCCACTCCACTTCGCTTCGCATCGATCACGCTGAATGGAGCCCCTTTTTCCATCCAGCTCAGTGCGGCTCCGCCGGTTCGACAGGCCGTTCACAGCAGAAACCTGGACGTCGGGTGTCTGCTCCGCGTAAGGTACTGTGAGTGAATTTTGTGGAGCAACCGGCGGGGGGTGTCTGCTCCGGCCAAAAGAAGTATAAAGCACCAACCTAAACAATGACTGCTGTGTTCATATCTTTCTGAATATGGTCAAATGGTCTACATTTCTTCATATGCCTAAAGAAGTGATGTTTTCGGGAATGGAGAGAAACAACGACTGCACGAAATAAATAACCAAGAAAAAGCACTCCCAATACTCGCCAGAGCTGCTGCCAGCGTGGTCGCGACATAACCAGCGCCTCTTCCGGAAGGAGGGAACTACCTTTCCATGGACTTCTGGTCCCAAAAATACGGCTTCCCCCAACCAAAATGTTCATTAGCGGCTCCCTTACTACTAGGAGCAAGAAGCTACTAGGGGCTCCTGGCCGTACTACTAGTAGCAAGAAGCTTCTAGGAACAAGAATTCTTCGCCATCTTGGATCCACTCCTTTTCGGGTAGGGGAGGAGCACTCTGGTGTTTCCACCGTCCTCTACATCGACGGTGACTTCGTGATCCGCGCCCGCCTACGAGGTCGGACTTCACTTTGGAGGCCACCTGCGACCGGCGCACGCACGAAATCGGCGGTCCCGGTCCATACGGCTCAGTGAAGGACCTCGTGGATCAGTGAAGGCGACCGCACGTTCCGTGTCTCGAGAGTTCCGCTGTTTCAACCCAAGGGAGCGTCATTTTGCACGACCTGCAAGCATCACTTCATGCAAGTTGGCAACCTGCGACCAACCTCAAGAAGGGATTTGAGGAGCCCTCACGGCGGCGATCAGTCCTTCTTTTGCGCTGAGGGATGGCACCCAAGAAGGCATCGTCGCGTGAGGCGGAAGGCGGCATGGCATAGGTTTTGTTTGGCAGCAAGTTGAGAAAGCCGAAAAAAGTATCCTGACCTCCAACCATCAACTCCTCACAAATTCCAAGAAGAAAACCACCCTTCATGTTCATGTGCAATTCCCACTACGGTTTGGCCACCTATAGAGCCTTACTTCAGAAAAGACAAGGACTTAAGACGTCAGAGCACGCATCATGACCTGCAACCATCGCGTTCACATGCTCTAGATCTGCAGTCTCACGAAAACATCCCGTGCATCAAGACGCCAACCTGGTACAACCATTCGTCGAAGGTGTCCGCGTGCCTGGTAGACTTGGTCTGCAGCCACTACAGCAGTTTCGTTCAAGGTGGCACCCAAGCCAGCCAATTTCTTCACCTTGGACGAGAAACTCATTGATCTCTTTGGTCTCCTCTCCAGAACCCTGCACTCAGCTCCACACTCGGCTCGGCAACGGCCCAAGACCAAGGGATTGGCATAGCTCCTGGACAGTGCACCAGGACATGGGGGGAGCACCCTCCCAGCAGCATGTTGGGGTGCCCGTTGTTTTGAAAGGGCTTGGTCTGATGCACTGTAGGATTGCAAAAAGTCTCTCAAAAACATGGTTCCTGTCAGTCTGCTCGCTTTTGTTTGGTCGGAAGCAAAGCTGAGACTTGGCATTCAATGACCAACCGATGCTGACCACAACATCTGTCTGTAGTCACCTGTCCGCCGTCTGAGGTTTCTCACCGTATTTCTTCTGCAGTCTGGCCTCACAGAAATGGCAGCAGTTCTTATTCAGGAGGTCATAGTCGGACATGGGCCAGTCCTGCAGCCAGAGACCCTGGAACTCCACCTAGACCACAGCTGTAGGCATCCACATTCAAGCACAACAGCAGCTCCATTAGGAGCAAGGACGCTACTAGGAACAAGTGCATCGCTACTAGTAACAAGGGCCTTACTAGTAGTAACAAGAAGCTATTAGAAACAAGAAGCTACTAGGAACAAAGCCATGGACCCCTGGACCTGGAGGACTTAGGACGCTCTCCACACGCTCTCCTCCGCCAGGCTGTAGATCAGCTCTACTGTTTCGTCTTCTGACATGGAGATACTTCCCATGGCGACCACCTCAAAGAAAGAATGGGGACAGCCGCTTTTCCTCACATTGATAGTCATATCTCCCACCTCGCGAAAGGTGTGGTCTTCACACATGCGAGGGAGGCAGCTCCAGACCTGAGATGACGAGACCGCCGCGTCGGTAGAATGAAAGCGTTCGTAAGCAGGTTCGTGATTTCGCTCGGATCAGATCAACCAGATCCTGCATGTTCCACAGCAACGCAAAATACAACCTCCATCCATTTGAGAGTGTTCGTCTCTGTTTTCCTTGCCCTTCAAGGTGACCTTTGTCCCGTTGTAGTCTTGGTCAGACTTCATTGTCACAACACCGTGCCATTGCAGGAATCTTCAACTCTCAACATCTCAGCTCAAAGCTCCAGTTTGTTGCGGATCCTGTGGTCCTTCCTGCCATTGCCATGAGACAACAACCAGAAGTGAAGATGACTTCCGGAAGCCGTCTCTAACAACTTCCCGCTTGGTCGTTTCATAGCACATCTAATACATCAACGGCATAGACCCGCCAGTTTTCGAAGGCGTTTCAATCCGGCAACGATCTCCCCGAAAGCATCGTCGAACGCCTCCGAACGGCCATAGCTCCATTCAACGCCATAGACCTGGCGACGAATGTTCAACAAATCGATGGGGGGGAAAACACGAGGTGCCTGGATCTGTGGCTGTTTTCGATCAAGTAGCAGTGGGTCGCCCCAAATTCCTGGTGGGTTCGCATCCCGAACATGGAGGAATCTGTTACTTTTCAGTGGTCAACCACTGTTACAGGCTTTTGACCCACAGCCACATGGATGGTCGCATGTCTCTGCTCTACTTCCAGATGGTCTCTGCTCTCGGAACGGCACCTGGACAGCGCAATGGAAGGCTCCAATGCCTACCGGCTTCAGCCAGCCGTTGAGGTTCTGCACCTGAAGTTCAGGTGATCCCCTACCCTGAGAGGATGATACCAGCCTAGGATTCGAGCTCTTGGGAAGCCAAAAATTCGACAAATGTGAGGCAGGTGTTGCTGGATGAAATGCGAAAAACATCGAACTCAAAGGCTCAACATGGCAAATGTCCCCCTCTCGAGGGCCCTCTCGGCGGCACCGTATTGCTCTTCCCGAGGTCATAGATGTTCAGCCGCACTGGCTCCTCGACCTCTTCAGGCCACAAATAGCCCGAATAAGCGAGGAAGTGAGTTAGTGCACATCGGAGAAACAGTGTGATTAGAATTGAGTCGAGTGCATGTAGAAACCTATGGAATTTGATGCTTGCCCCTGCCAATTTGAAGGGGCCTCTGCAGAAGACGAATCGTAAACACAGTAAATACATTCCTCATGTTTTGCACCTGCTCCACATGTGAAGCCTTGAATCTGCCCACTCTGACGCCAAAGCACAAATGTGTTTTTGTTGATTGGCATCTGAGGACGGAGACAAGGAGGGGGTAGCCTCCCCTTCATCCACCCCGCCACTTCCCCGCACACGCCTCACTCAAATCATCCCCTGGACCTGTAGAAATCGTTCAGACCGCCCTTTGGGCGCAATTAAATTAATAGCAAACATTGTTACTACTAGTAAGGCACCTGTTACTAGTAGCTTCTTGTTTCATCAAAAACACAGAATCGAAGTGAAAATCATGAAAATCAGCTGAGTAGCTTCTTGCATTGCTTCCCAGACTCTCTGTTCGAGCACTTTCGTGCCATCCAGTTCGTTCGTTTTCGCCCGAAAAGGGACGGGACGGGACCAGAGCCCCACCTCCTCGATGGAGGTAACCCCAACGTGGAGTGGAGCTGGGCGACTCAGAGCTCCTGATGGAGGGAGCATCGACCCAGTGCACGACTCGTCTTAACCCGCAGGTGAAAGGCTTCCAGAACCGGGGGCGGGCTATGTCGGACATGATGGGAAAGAAACGAAGCAATCTTTCACCTTCATCGGGAAGCATCCAAAAAGTTGGCGCGTGGCTTTCTTTTGGCCCACGCCGATGCAAATGGCGTAAAACCGGTGCACAAAGAAGCTGTGTGGATTCCTTGGGCCTAGTTCATGTATATATGTTCATGTTAACTTTGATCCGTTTTCATAGCCCACTCACAAACCCACAATCCGTCAAGCCAGCATCATGTGCATCAAGACCCGCAAATATCACTTCTTAGCACTGTAGGTTTGCAACCTACTGTCCTGGCAAGGAAACATCATTTGCATCGCAATGACAATTACATTTTTCTTTTGTGGAACTTGCAATCCATCAAGGAAGCATCATCTGCATCACAGCATGCAACTGTGATTTTCTTACACTGTAGGTTGGCAGCCTACGGCACACCGCTTAACGATGTTTGTCTTAACTTCAGAGTCCAATCTCGCTTCATTGATGCCTCCACACCGAAACACACTAGATCAAACGCCATGCAGGGAATGGGAACAGCTATCTTACAACCTTAGAGAAGGATTCTCCCATCGCTCCCCAGTCACAGATCCCAATTAGATCCAATTAGTGCCTTCTCCTGCGTGGGGTCCGCAGCTCTGCTTGACCCTCAGTGAGGGTGGCCTAAGGAAACAAGAACCTCTTCAAAAGAATAACTTTAAAAAAACTGGGGGCCTTCAATAAGGAGCCCCAACGAGCCCAAACACTTTCTTTTTCCGGTTTTGGATGTTTGGGTCGTTGTCGGAGGTTCTTCGCTTCGTGGTCGAAAAACCACACCGAGTCGGCCCCAACGAGTCACGAATCGTCTGCATCGTATGCAGCTGAGCATCCGAAAGTAAGCTCCACGATTGCGACTTGACCTTGGCAAGTTGCAGAAACTGTGGAGAAAACCGAAAACTCCACGTGTCTGCTTTGGTCCCTTGGAAAGTGGAATTTCGTGAAGTTCCTTGGTTTCCATCTCTTCCAGGCACGTCGGAAGACGCCACCACGCGAAGCATGTTCTGGCCGAGGCGGAGGGTGCCCATGGGGATGATCAAGCTGTTCGCCACGAACTTGTAGGGCAAGACCACGAGCTGAGTCTGATCACCTCGGCTGGCAGGTCGGAAGGTCGGAAGGTCGGAGACCTCGGTGGGGAGGGACCTCGACTCGAGTGGAGTCTAAATCATCTCAAAGATCCTCAAAGTGGCTTCTCAAACTGGGAGTCCATCCCTTTTTTCAGGACACATTAAACGTATTGATAGCGACGGAAACGTTGTACTGTATGGTTTTCGCATCTAGAATGCACCTGCAAAGTGTTCCGACACCACTTCTGGCCAAGTCACCGTTCACCAGGTGGCCATTCAAAAGGATCTCCACTCCCTCTGGTTGCCCACCTGGAATTGCAATAATGTGAGCTGTGCAATACATTTGAAGAAGAAAGAGAAACTTGTACAAGAAAATACCTCCACTGTGAGAACATTAGATCACTCAGTCTGTGCCTAGTTTGCTCAGTTGTGCCGGCTGGGGACCGCTACACAACAAGTCCATGCGGCTCGGTCTGAGCGCCAGCGGCAAAGCGGCCTTCACCCGTGCGGTACACCAGCGAGAGGCAGCACAACAAGGGCAAGTCATCCAAGTCCTAGGAGCGATCGGACGCTACGAAAAGGGGCGAAACTGGCCGGTCAGCCGTGGGCATAAAAGAGGAGGACCCCATACTCTGGTAGGGTTCACCTGCTGGAACTGCCTGAAAAATCATATCCAAGCTGCAAAAGAGATGGACAGGTATGAATGGCTGCCTCAATTCGGGCCCATGTCAATCGGCCTAGCCCATGGTCACTCATGCTGGCTTATTGCTTGAAGAAAGCCTTCTTGCCAAAGAAAGGTCGACCTTTCATAGAAACTGCGTTGATTGGCAGCCTCTGTTTTCTTCACACATGCCGCATGCCAAGTGATTCTTCGCTTTCAGGAAAAGCTGAGGCCCACACTGAAACAAAGAGCATCGCATGCGTCCTGGACAAAAGGGACCGTCGCTTCCAGCGGGGTGACAAGTGACGGTCCCTTTGGTCACGTGACAACGTTCTTTCGCAGAGGCCCACGATGTTCATGTGATGAGACTGTTGAACAACGGAGGACACCGAGAGGACACCTCGGACGCCTCTAAGGACACCTGATGACGAGGGGTCCTCCATAGGCAGCTTCCAGCTGAGGAAGTGGTGGCCTTGGTGGAGAATCAAAGTAGAACCCTGAGACGCCAAACCTATTCCAGTGGCCAAAGTCAATGCTGGAACAGTAACACTTGTCTTCCAAGGTCTATTTTAGCAGACCAACCTAGTTAATGTTGACACTTGGATCCACATCGATAACATTGTGTTCCTCTACATCAGAATCATCTGAACGGTCTTTGGCAGCAACGCGGTGGGACATTTTAGATGGACTGGACTCCCGAACTTTGCTTGTCATGTTCAAGAGTCTCCCCTTGAACTCCACTCCGAGGTACTAGTAGATTTTCGACGTATGAAATACATTGAAAATACGCCCACTTCTTGGCAATTGGATGTCGTGAATACGTCGTGAATGTCGTGGAAGACGAGGCGGTTTGGCTCAGCAGGTTCGCTCCCGTCACCAAGGAACAGTGGACATCTTCGAAGGTCGCGTTCGTTTGCACCTGGGAGGAAAATGGTGAAAACCAAACGACGAAAACGGGTTTGGACAACGAAAACGGTTGGGGACATTGGAATCAGGAATTCTTTGCGTGAGAAGAGGTGATTTGTTCGCATCCGCAAGCACCAAGTCCACCAAGTCCAGGATCGCCTCATCGATGGGTCCATCTGCCAACGCCTTCTTCGAGCACCACTGAACGCTCCACATCTCCTCGCCTCAGACCATTCGCAGCGAATTGTTGAAGTTCGGACCGTTCTCTAAGATCCCAAGATCTCTAGGTCTAGGTGTAAGGTGTCTCATGGTGAAAACCATTGACCTCGGACAGAAGCTTCTGGATCTTTAGTTCTCTCAGAACTTGTAAAATGGTTGCGTCTGCTCGACAATCCCTCCTGAACTGATGACACTTGGAGGCTTGGATAGCACAATGGAAAAGCCATTGGCGCCACCGCATCACTTACATACATCAATCTCACTGCTGCTGAAGTAACAAATACCAAAACTCTTTCTTTTTCCCACATCAAGCACTTGGCTTTGTGATATGAAATCATGAAACCGCACCGCTTCACCACGTGGCACGTTCAAGACATAGTGACATCCATTCATCCTGTGCATCGCTCCCTCTCCCACGCCCACGCCCCTGTCCTCGTGCTATCGCCACTTCAGGCGCCCAGTTGATGCTTCCAAACGGCCGCATCCGGCGCTGCAACTCCTGTGGCGCCAGCGACCCCCGGCATTATCGTCGTGTTCTGCCTGTTCCGCGTTGCTTCGGACTCAAGCGGTAACAAAGAACACAGTGGACTCGTGGAATAAGTTACTCTTCCAGTTACCTTCCATCTATAATTTGTTTTAAAAAAATAATAAGCATAATAAACACACTATATACTGAAGAAAGAAAAAAATTACCACATGTCGGACTCGGACGAGGATCGCCCTTCCGAAACAAGAAAAGATCCCACCAAAATAAGCTTTTCAACCGTCAGGAGCACGTCGCTTGGAGCCTGCAGATTTCCCTGAAAACCAGGGGGTAAAAGAGCTGCCATACATTCGTCATCCACATGACGTACCATCAGCACTGGGGACCTCAGCCATGAAACATCATGAAACTATAGTGCATGTGAAAGCATGTGTTCTGCGAAACTCAGGCAGGGCGTCAACCTGACAGGACTGCGGGCTCACTTAGTTCCAACCGCATCCATTCCAATCCATTCCCATCCCGCAGCGGTTCACTGAGTTCCAACCCGGATCCAAGCGGCCAGCAGCTGACCTGGAGCTTCTTGGGCGTCAGGACCAAGCCGGCACCCTCGTCCAAGCCCAAACCCCAAGCGGGGCGGAAGCAATCGCAAATGGCCCGGAGGCGGTGCTGCCGTTGCCGACGGAGGAGGTGGCTCAGCGCTAGACCTAGCGGAACATCAGATAACATCAGGTTGCGTCAAGTAGTGATGTGCAGATGGGATAGGTTCGGTTTACTGTAGATCCAGCACACTAGTAACTATTCCCAGCCCAAAGAGCGGTTTTACCCCAGCTGCAAACCCAGCTCAAGAAGGATGCAGCCTTCGGACGGGCAAGACAGTGCCTTGGATCAGGTCCAGCCCTTCCATGATCTCGTCAAAGTTGGGGCAAAGTGCACCTGAGAGCGAGCCGACATAAAACGTCGACCCTCACGAACCTTCAACCAATCTCCTCCCACCCCAAAAAGAGATCAATCTTAATGCAGGGAGACCAAGGCCATCCAAGGCCCAGTCGATGATGCTTCAGGCCTCAAATCTTAATACCGTGATGTTCTTGTAGACCAACTGTTGGTTTACAGCGACCGAGCCGCACAGCACGGACGCCCCTGCCGCGGTGCCGCCCACAGCGCCGTGGCGCTGCAGGAGCCGCTGCAGCGCCTGAGCGACACGTCACGGTCTCCAAAAGGTCTCCGTTGGCTCCTCTGCCAGTCAGAAGAGTTGGTTGATGGTTGTCATCTCTGGGTTGCCAACCCACAGCCTTGCAAATCTATTTCACGTTTCATGATGCTTATGATGCGTTGAATGAACTGTTGATTGTGAAGAGTCAACGTGCTAATGATCAACAACTGATTGCATGCCTGTAGACTGGCAGTCAGCAAAGGTGAGTTTTGGTACACCGAAACGACCAGGCTGTGGAGTAAAGTGAGAGGCGTTATCAGCAGCGCACAGCTCATGATGCTTACAATGCATTTGCGATGAACTGTCATTGCAAACCTACAGCGTCAGAGGACCAAATTCCTGCTGATCAATTATCGATTGCATGTTTTATTGATGTACTGAGTGTTGCGAGTCAGAAGAGTTGGTTGATGGTGGTCACCTGTAGGTTGCCAACCCACAGCGTTGCAAAACTATTTCACATTTCATGATGCTTATGATGCAAAGGCTCCTCTGGGCCGGTCGGTTGGTGCAATCTGCATGGGTGCTTTTCAGCATGAAAAACGCTCGAAGCCTCGGAAGCCAACGGAGACCGTCCTCAACGGAGCCGCGCCTTCTCCAGAGCCGTGCCGCGCAGGACACCCCGCAGGCAGCTCTGGTCGCCACCTGATCCCGGTGCTGAGGTCCTTCGGTGAAGCTGACTTGATCGAGACTCTTTCAGAATCTGAGACTCGAAATCGAGTGGCCGAAGCCAACGAGCCCCTTGTAAAGCTCCCAAAGCCAAGCTCCCAAAGCTCCCAAAGCCTGTAGATCCCAAAGCTCCCCAAGCCAAGCCATTCCAAGGGGCTCGTGAACCAAACGCACTGAGCAGCATCGATGAGACTGGACACGTGAGCCGAGTCCTTGGAGTGGCAACGTCGTTCGGTCTTGAGAGATCTCACCGGACCACTTCCGTGGGAGACCCCCAAAAACACACATAAATAAGGACATTCATAGGCCATATTACAATCCTTTACAATTCTTTTATTAGATCATAGACAGGATTACACCTGCTATCTCAATAGGACATCATGGACTACCGAAGGAATTGATGCAAAAACAAGCATGGTTCCACCTTCCACCCTCCCTCCCTCCCCCTCCCTTGAAGCCCAAAGAATCCGCATCCGCTCTGCTTTGGAGAGAGACTTCAGTCACATCTCCCAACCTCAAGCGGTGGTTCCGCTGAACCGGCGACACTGGAGAACTGACCACCCGAAATCCTCAGGTGTCAACCTGCAGTGTCACACTTTTGTTTTTTTTTGAGCCTTAAGTAGGCGCCTACTCAATTAAGTAAGGGAGGAGTAAGCTACTAGCAATAGGAAGCTCCTAGCTAGGACGCAGGACAGCTCACGCTTCTTCAAGGAAGCTTTTGCGCCTGAGGGTGGGGAGCAGCTTCCTTGAAGAAGCGCTCACTAATGATTTGGTTCCTAGACCTTGGGGGAAACTTGACTTGTCAAAGGGTTGCTCCAAGAATGGGCGTCTCATGACGGTAGGACAAAGACATGCTTTGATCCTCATTCTGCTTCACATCTGAAAAGTCTCACCCAAGACTTCGATTGTCCAACCCGCCCTTCGTCCAAGTCACTCATCCCAAAGATCATCTGGTCTATAGCCACAACCTCAGACAGAACTAGTTAGAACCAATGGGAAATCCAGCTTCTGTGAGGAGCCACATAAGGTAACAACAGTACTACTATATCCACTGCCTATCCAAAGCTATGCCAGTCTTCCATCTACCCCTTCAACCAGTAGCCAGTAGCAAAAAAACACTCCCGATCACTCCATATGGTGGCAACAAGATGGAAGGACCAGTCAGTCACACGGTCGACCAGGCTCCCCAGCTGATGATCACGATCTTCACCCTTCCCAGCATCGAGCGCCACGGCAGCGCGCGGCGCGCGCGCTCCGCGAAGCCGCGACGGAACTGCACCTCGGCGGAGCAACCGAGCGAAGCTCGTGGGGCACCGTGAGGAGAGGCGAGCGAAAACGAAGACAGCTGAAAAACAGCGTCTCAGTCCTAAGCTTGGCTGAAATTGGAGCAATACGTGGGGTCTGAAATGGCCTGGGTCAAAACCCGGGCAACGCTGGTTGACCACCGAAAATGAACCGAATCAGAGTACTTGGTAGGTCCGGGTGACCAGGGCTCCTGGTGCCATGACCCACAGACCTCCTACCAGTCCTCCAAGGCCATCGGCACCACATGGCCTTGCGGCCGCGGTGAATTCTGGGGCTCCGCTGGCGCCAATGCGGTGCTGTCGGGATCTTGAAAACCCCCAACCTTCCTTCGACCAAGACGCGAAAAGTTCATCTTCGGCCGGACCACCACCGTACAGATGGAAACTGCCACTCTTGGGCAGGAGATCTTGGTGAATGTGATCATTCCATCGGTCCATCCTGGGCCAACACGTTGAATCATCAGCGGGAAACCGGGAAACCCACCCAAATTAAATTCCACTATTTCCATCTGTATTCTATGATCTCTATATGATCCTCGGATCCATGCCATCGTTGAGTGGGGGTTGGCCCGCGAAGCCATTGTCTTCACACTTTCCAAGAAAAATCCAAGCCATGTCGCAACTTCGTCATTGCTTCTCCTTCGGCCACATCATTTGGCGCTTCTGCACGGTGTTCACACATGCCATGGGCATATGGCCATCCGCACCACCCGCAGCAACCAAGCCGGTTTGCTCACATCATATCATGTGGATTCATGTGGTGATTTGGTGGCTGACAAAGAGAATGCAATGGGTATTGGTGACAGGTTTGGTAGAAATCTGACTTCCCACGATGTTTCTTGTTTTAGCAACAAATCCGACAGGAACGAGCAACGGCTGCGATGGTTGTCAAACGATTCATTCACCATCTTTAAGGGTGCTCTAAATTTCTGGGTATCAAGAGCACCCTACCTGGGCCAAACAACCTCAGCCATTCCGTTTGCGAATGACTCGGATTCCATCCTGTTCAACTCAACTAGCGACGGATTTGCAAACCGGCAACAGCATCCTGACCTGCACTAAGGGCTTTAGCATCCGGTACGTCGTTGACACCCACCTTCGCCCAAAAGAACCTCACATCCTTTGGCTCCGCGCAATGGAGTTCAGTGGAAAGTCAAAGTTCACCACGTGCCTCGGCGTTATTTCTTGGTCCGTCCAAGAGTGAGTCCAGTCCGCGGACGGCGTCGATTCGGGAGGCAGCGCTATCGGACGAGCACCGAGACGCAGACTCGGTGCCCTAACGCGGCGGCGGCTGATCTTCGAGTCGAAACCGAGGGAGGTGTCCCGTGTGAACAAAACACTGGAGGTTTGAAAGAAGGTGTACCACCGATGCTTGGTATCGAAATACTGTCAGTGTGGGAATATATGTGGATTGCATGCTGGTTCAATGGCAATGTTCCATTTTTGTGGACAGTGGACAATTTAAAACATTGTTTATGCCTTTCAAACACGTAGCGTTTCAAACACGTAGCGTTTCAAACACGTAGCGTTTGGCTTGCAGTTCCCGCGTTTACAATAAAAATCTCCTGATATGTCTGTGCAAGGCAAGGTTTGCAGCAACCTGTGGTCATGGCGCTCTATCTCTGCAGCACGAAAATGTTCAAGACTTTCAACACACACTACAATGAACTAGAAACACTGCGGTTCCTCCTCTCAAAGGACTACATGTATATATGTATGAAGCCGCAAAGCTTGCCCGTTATTCAGGGCATGTATGAAAATGCAATAGTGAAGCGTGAGGCTGCCAGCAAACTAGGTAAGGACATCATTACCTTAGAACACCCTTCCAAGAAGCTACACACTTTTGCACGAATGTTTGCCACCAAGCGGGGGGGTAAATGAAAGCAGAATATTAGCAAAGTTGTGGGAAGCTTCTTCTCACCAACTGGGACTACCATCGAATCATTCCTCTTTTGAAGCGGCTTCTTCGACCCGGGGCCCCGGCTTGCAATTTGGCAGGTCGAGGCCCCTTTGTGCCAGGTCCGTGCAGACCAAGACGTTGACCTCTGCCCTCGCAAACCTGGCATCACATGTGGGTGGGAAGTTCTCTGAAAATCATGAATTTGTCTCCATCCTAGTCACGAAGGACAAGTGAAAATATAGATATAGATGAGGATGGCATTGTAGCTGAGGTTAATGGCACAGTTGAGGCTCGGGCTTCTTCAGAATCTCTGTTCGCTCAGCCTGAGCCAGATTGCACAAGTAAAACGACTGCTAGCATCATAAGGAGAAGAGATAACTTCATCATAGAGGTAGAGACAGTGGACTATGTTGGAAACAAAAGCAGCTTGTCCACTAGGTCATACTCCTCTGTCAAATCCACAAGTATTCCACAGCGACTGCGAACAGCTACAAGGAAACCGAAAAAGGTGTGGTGTGAACGACTCGAGAGCAAATTGCTTGAGACACTCGAAAGTCACCAAAATAATCTGAAAAATGTCACCAAAACACTAGATCTTAGGTTGGAGGCCATCGCTATTCATAAAAGATCTTATATAAATTTAACGGGAACTTCTCTATTTATAATTAATGGTTTTTATTTCTGGTCTGTCCTGTCTGTCTGGTCTGTCCTGTCTGTCTTGTCAGTTGGGTCCTAGGGTCCCTAAGGTCCTAGCAGGTCGTGCGCGAGGCGAACGACTGCTATTTAGTTTGGAGGCCATCTCTAGCAGGTTGGAGGCCATTGCTAGTAGGTTGGAGGCCATCGCTAGTAGGTTGGAGTCCATCGCTAGTAGGTTGGAGGCCATCGCTAGTAGGTTGGAGGCCATCGCTAGTAGGTTGGAGGCCATCGCTAGTAGGTTGGAGGCCATCGCTAGTAGGTTGGAGGCCATCGCTAGTAGGTTGGAGGCCATCGCTAGTAGGTTGGAGGCCATCGCTAGTAGGTTGGAGGCCATTGCTAGCAGGTTGGAGGCCATCGCTTCTAGGTTGGAGGCCATTGCTAGCAGGTTGGAAGCCTTTGCTTCTAGGTTGGAGGCCATCGCTAGTAGGTTGGAGGCCATCGCTAGTAGGTTGGAGGCCATCTCTAGTAGGTTGGAGGCCATCGCTAGTAGGTTGGGGCCAAAGCTAGTAGATTGGAGGCCATCTATAGTGGGTTGGAGGCCATCGCTAGTAGGTTGGAGGCCACCGCTAGTAGGTTGGAGGCCACGGCTAGTACGTTGGAGGCCATTGCTATTAGGTGGAGGCCATCGCTAGTATATCACCAAAAACATCGACCAAATGACCAGATGTTTGCGCTGTGAACGCTGCTTCTCGGCCCACTCTGCTTCACCAACGACCAAGCGGCTGTGAGCATCTCCTTGTGTAGCATCCCAATTCTCCTGTTCCCACCAATAATCAAGAACACCCAATTGATCTTCCAATGATGGACTTGGCAAAAACCCGAAAAGCGGCTGCTTGGTGAAGGGAATGGATCGAACTAAGGATTTTCGCGAGTAAGTGTTGATATATATTTGAAAGTATGTTCAATGAATGGGTAAAGGGAAAATCTACCGGAAACAATGGTTTCAAAACTATGGGTGTCCTGTGGATTTCCCGTAAGCCAATTCTGGGATACTTGGCCAGCAAAGTCTGCAAGTAGAGAGAGTTCAGCAAGAAATGTGTTTTAAAGGCCGTTCTACGCTATGCCCATGTCTACATTTGATACTCGTGTCTTTGCGTTGTTTGGTCTGAGAGCCATGACTCTTGCGCATTGGGATACTTCTCTTTGAGCTGATAGGCAATCGACCTCAATCACTGGAGTCACCACGTTTCAGCTGGAACACCACGTTCCCAACCATCCACCTGGGGTCACAGCTTGCAGGCCGTCAGCATGTTGCAGAAGACCAAGGTCTGACGAGGAGTCAAGTGGCGTCCTGGGTGTCGATCTTGGCTTGCAACAAATCCGATCATGAAGGGAGTGCAAATGCGTTCTCTTTTCTATGTTTTCAATTGTTGTCTTTTTTTTTGAAAGGAGTACATCTTCCAATGCTGAAGAAGTACATGCTCCAAAGACTTTGCCGCAATGCATGTCCCTTCTTTGCCTCATTAAGCATCAGACTCTGGGCCTCTTCACCCAGATCCCTTTGGACGATCTGCGACCTCGGCGAGCTCGAGCTCGCTCGAACTCTCAGCTCAAGTGAGAGATTTGGTCCTGATGATCTGCTGAGAACTAGGTAGGCTGCTAGCAGTGGCCTCCAACCTACTAGCGATGGCCTCCAACCTACTAACGAAGGACTCCAACCTTCTAGCGAAGAACTCCAACCTACTAGCGATGGCCTCCAACCTACTAGC